AGCAACGACATGAGCCTTACCTTACTGGATGAGTTTACTCCACAATTGCGTGACGTAAACTAGGAGGTCCCCTGTGGATCGTTGGTGCCAGAAACCATACTGCCTATCGCTAATCAAACTGTGACGTTCGAGGTAGTCCAGAAGCTCGCGATTTATGCACCTCTCCATCAACCTTACTTATAACAGAAAGCAGAGCTATAGGCCTTTAGTTGTAAGCGTCGGTCTTAGATCCTTTTTTGGGGATGGGTTGGAGATGAGCAAATTTCCAGTTTTCTGGGAAGGCGCTGGATTCATAAGATATCTGAAAGAGACGCGAAAGAACTCTAGCAAGCTTCGCTCCACACCTCTTCAGTACAATGGCAGAAATCAAGTCCGGACCAGAAGCTTTGTTGATGTCGAATGTTATTTCCCGCATAGTGTAGGGAACCCTTTGACTTGATGGCACTTGGGCGTTGGTGGGGACGTCCATGGTGGAGTTGGCAGCGAAGATCTTGGCAAGCACTTCCGCCTTGGCGTTTGAGTCCGATACAATCGTTCCATCCTAACACGTAAGTGGTGGAAGGCTACTGTGTGAGAAGTTCTTTTCAATCTGCTTGGCCAGCGTCCAGAAAGACCGACTGCCATTGCGCTGCGACATTACCCTGTGCCTAACTTTTACATTGTACTGTTTTTTGGTATTGCGAACCGCTTCGTTATATTTGTTTCTGGACTCGACGTCGGCTTGTCTGTTCTACGTAGTGGGGTTTTGTAACAAGGTTCTGTGTGCTTTGAACTTCTGCTGGCGAGCAGTATCACACGATTTGTTAAACCAGCCGTTGGACCCTGGTTTAGGCACTTTCACTGTGTGAGGGATGTATTCCTCCATTCCGGCGTGGATAATTTCCGTTATCAAAGAACAGACAGCTGACGCATCCGCGTCAGTGAAACAGACATCTCTCCAAGGAAAGCTAGAGAAGAAGTCTCTGAGCCCCTCCCAGTCGGCATGTCCGTAATGTCAAGTTTTGCGGTCTATACGAGTTTCTGCACCGTGGTCTGAGTTACCCAGGCGGGACAGGACAGCAGTGCTGTAAGGGACAGGATGCGTGGTCAGAAAGAGATCCCAGCAGGCGACTGGCGTGTGACGAGACGCAGGGGAAAAAAGTAGGGCTGGTCACCAGCTGGGTCAGCCCTTGAGTAAGAGCGAACGCTTTGACTGCACAACCTGCTGCATCGGTCTTGTTTGAGCCCAACCAACGCTCATTATGGGCATTGAAATCATCGAGAAGGACTACCTCTGAAGCGGGATGATTGATGTTCAGGAAGTCGATCTGGACCTCGAGGTATTCGAGTAGGTCATCCCAGTTATGGTCCGAGGGAGAGCAATAAAGGCAGCAAATAAATATGGGTGATGTTTTGGAGTTGGAGCAGAATGTCCTTCCGGTCTGATTCCAAAGAAACATCTCTGGAGCAGGAAAGACTGATGTGGACAAAAGCCACAGCTCCCCCGTTCTTTCTCAAATTGGAGTGCACCTCGTAGTTTGGAAAGTTAAGATGGTTAATCGGTGCAGACTCTGAGATTTTTGTCTCCGCCAAGAAAAGCATGGCGGGACGATTGGATTGCAGGTAGTGATGAACAGCATCAATGTTGCTGTTAATCCCGCAGATGTTCGAAAAGCAAATTTTATATTTGACGTTGTCCCCTCGAGTCCACCCGCCACCCGGACATTCCGAGAGTGGAGTGAGTTTACGTCCGAAGTTCTTGGTACTCGAGGGATCCATCGTCATTAATTTCTTTGTTTTGGAAGATAACCGACTGCATAGCTTAGGTGTGGAAACATGCGGACATTTATAAGACACCCTGGGAAAAGCTAGCGGGTGGTACCGCCTCGGTCGACTGGTCCTTGTCTACCACCTTCTTTTTACGTGTTAGTTATATTAAATAGACCTAAAGTGGCCCGTTGGCGGACTTATACCGCCACCCGGCAATCCGTACTGTGGTATTCCTTAACGCGTGTACAATCACTTGAACGGGAAGAAGTTGTATACTAGGTACAACAACTTCCGGAACAAGCATTTGCCACGGCGCGCTGAGAAGGGAGGGAGGGGGGTAATAATGCAGCCATTTAGCACATACTAACTAACAGTTTGAAACATCATTGTGCCTTCAGTTTGAGTTCTAACTTTATAAACAGTTTAGCGCATTTCAGTATGACATATTTTGTTTATAAACTTTAATGCTCATCTGTGTCCGTGTAAAAATGTCAGCTCTAAATTTATATATAGGTACAAGAGTATGAAGAAATCTTGAAAAAAAATTGTTTTCTTCGCAACAAAAGGTGATAGACACATCCGCTTTGTTTTAAAATGTGTATAATAACGTATGTTTTCCGAATCACAGATACGAAATGTTTGAATTTGTTTAGAAAAAAAACGTAACCGTTCGTTATTTGCGTAAAAATCCCAATTAACATAACTTTCGGAATGGTTTGTGATTCATGTCGGTAAGGTACACTCGTGTATTTTGTTATAAAATGCCCTTTGAACCGTACCCTGTATATTGCTAGTAGTGAAGAAGGTGTTTTGGGATAAGCAATTAGAAATTCTCAAAAACTACTCGACCAATCGACTCCAATTTTGTTGTGGTTACTTAGAAGTATGAAGACTACGGATTTGAAAAATTGTAAATAGCTGCGTGATATTATCGTCGCATTAGCAGCAAGTGCCAAAACCTGCATTTTGCTTTGGTTTTCGGTCATAACTGTTTTAGTATTAGTCGAATATTTTACGTGTGGTCTCATTCTGTAGGTATTATAAATACCTAAAAATCTTATCTGAAGAGTTTTTTGTTGTTGAACAAAACGTTTTCCCACAAGAATTGGTGTATCCATTTTATGGGTCCATGTTTTAAATACCCCCTTGAATACTTGCATTAATAAAATCATAATTTAAAATTATTTAGCAAACTAGTGGTATTTTGGTCTAATATGATTAGACTGACTACCAGTAGGAATCGAAAATTTCCCTATAGGTCTGTATCTATAGTTACGATTGATGAAATGTGCATTTGTCATCTTGACATGCATAAATATTGGAAACTCGGGTAATAGTCTATGTGAAACTCTGAAAATAGTCTGCCGAATTAAACTCGCGTATCAAAATTGTAAGAAAAACAAGAGTATCGCACTATTCGAATATATTCTCCATATACAACCGCTCGATACCACGTCTAGTTCTTAACTGACTTTGACATTCCACAACCGTTGTCAGGTATATACAATATGATACATTACTATGAAAACATCAGTACAGTAATAATAATAACACTCGGCTATCCTGACCATTAGGCTGTCCTCAGACTAATTAAACGTTAGAAAAGCTTCAATTCTCAAAGCTTCAAAACCTAGACTTATAATAACGTAGGAAATATAAAAAAAAAATTACTTCACAAGATCTTACATAATGCATATCTCAAAATAACAATAAAGAGAAAGGTAAAATAAAATTGCAGTCCAATCAAATGTAGTGCAGGTAAGGAAAGATTTGCGCAAATGTTTTCCACATGATGACGTTCATCTACAAGCAACGTTTGCCAGGCTGTTCGTAAGTAAGCGACGTTCGCTAATAGGCAACGTTTGCCGAAAATAACGTGGAAGCGACGTTCGCTTGAAGGCAACGTTTGCCGAAAATAACGTGGAAGCGACGTTCGCTTGAAGGCAACGTTTGCCAAAAATAACGTGGAAGCGACGTTCGCTTAAAGGCAACGTTTGCCAAAAATAACGTGGTAGCGACGTTCGCTTGAAGGCAACGTTTGCCAAAAATAACTTCTTGAAAATACGATGTTCGCATGTGGGCAACTTTTGCCTCTAATTATCGTTTATTAGGGTCACCCATGCCTTGACCTGGTCTGCAGCTACAACAGTTCGCTTCCGTTTGAAGCCTTCTCGTAAGTCTTCAACTTCGTATCGATCGTTGAATAATTTTTTCGTAACTCGAAAAGGTCCCTTATATTTTGCATGTAGCTTATGGCTAGTTCCCGTAGATGGTATACTCGTTATCAATACCCTGACCAAGTCACCCTCGTTATACTGGGTGGCATTGCGTCGACTTTTATCGTAACGTTCTTTTTGTTTTTTTTGATCATCCTCAATATGTCCTGAAATCTTATGCCTAACCTCCTCTAGGTCAAGTCTATCTATCTCATTTTGAATTGCACTCAAAACTGTCGCCTCAGCTGCATGTTTAGAATTGTAACCAATCAGGGCCACCATAGGAGTCGAATTGATGCCTTTGTTAAAACTCGTATTCAATGCACTTTGTATTTGTTTTACGTATCTATCCCAATCTCGCTCATCTTTTCCTGCAGCAGTTGTTGATAGAGCACTTACGATTGTTTTGTTGTAACGTTCACAAAAAGGTTTTCGGTGGGAGGCAACCTTTATAAAATTAATCGGTTCTCACGTTTAGTCATAACCACGTGTTCTTGGTTAATAAAATCTCTCCCGATTAATAAATCAAATTTCAGGTATTTGTCCGGAACAATTATGGCACGCACTTCTGCTGAAACTCCCTGTATACTAGCGGTGATCTTGCAAAACGATGTACTGTTCACAAAGGTACCCATAAAACTGTACAAAGTCATATCCTTCGAATCCGTACGAAGAAGGCCAAGTTTTCTAACGAGTGATTCTTTTATGAGTGTGTTAGAACTGCCAGAGTCTATTAAACAGTTTGTTTTCTTTCCGCAAATTCGGGCATTTTGCAAAAAAATATTAGAACCCACACTCGTTAGTGCTTCAACTTGATGCACTTCCTTACGCGGAAAAGGGCACTTTTCTTTAAGATGTCCCAATCTTTTACAGTTGGTACATTCCACGCGTGGCTTTCTGCAACTGGATGAAATATGGCCCGGAATACCGCAATTAAAACATGTTGGGCGCGAGCCTGAAGGCTTATTGACTTCCTTTTTATTACGATTGCCATAACCAGATCTGAACGACGTTGACGGCTGAAAATTTCCACTATTAAGATGAGGACTTTTTTTTTTCTTGAGGCATTTCGCCTACAGTGTTTAAGTAAGCATATAGAGCGTTTGCGTCCGTATGTTGTGCAGCCCTGACCGTTCTTGCTATGTTTTCATCCCTGATACCACCAATCACTGCATCAATCAAATATGGATCAGGTATTTGTATATTGAGTGCTCTCAATTTGGACAGTTTTTTGAAACAATAATCGCCTAAATTTTGCCCTGGTGCTGCGTCGTAGTTAGCGGCATCTTTGAATAATTTAGAAAATGGGACGGACTTACGAAAGTGCTGGCTCATTGATCTTTTAATTTCATCCCAACTGGAGTCGTAGTCCACATTTTCTTCGTACCACTGACGGGCATTGCCTCGCAGTCTTCCAGAAATCAGTCGTAGAATGGCATCGTCATCCCAGTGATAGCGCTCTGCCAAACGGTCAACTTTATCCAGCCACTTATCCACCATCACGTCGTCCCGATTAGGATCAAACGTCGGCACTAAGAGTTCATCTCCCGTACGAATGATTGCCGGGTACCGTCTCAATTCGTTTAATTCTTTTCTCAATCTCTTTATAGTTTTTCTTGAAGACGATCTATGGGAAGAGGCCGAACTCGAACTGTCACTTTCACTCGAGGATTCCTTTCGGCTCCGCTTCCCACTTCTATTCCGCGATTTGAATTTAGTTTTCCCCATGATGTAGGAAAATTCAACTGATTTTAAGGTATCCCACCGCTGCTTTGTAAGAAAAACAAGAGTATCGCACTATTCGAATATATTCTCCATATACAACCGCTCGATACCACGTCTAGTTCTTAACTGACTTTGACATTCCACAACCGTTGTCAGGTATATACAATATGATACATTACTATGAAAACATCAGTACAGTAATAATAATAACAAAATAAATCTGATAATTTTTCATTCAAGCATGTTGCCAGTAAAAAGCCGCATTCGGTTATTTTCATATTTTGGCGAAAGAGCCCTACTCATGCAGTTTTTAGAAAACACGCTTTCATGATGCACTTGTGCAATTACTTCTGAATATTTCATTCCTTTAGGTCCACTAACCTTGCTCCTTTGAATCGAGCTAACAGGACCGTCTTGCAGTTACAAGAGGTTCAATGAAATTGTCTTGCAGACATAACAGCAATAGCTTGCATGCCATGGCCTTGTGGACTGTTTAAGAGCTTTTGTAGGCAAGATATTGCCTCGAAAAAACGATTTTGCAAAATACTCACCTTACTGGAGATATATCCAAACGACTGCAGATTGAAGTTCTGTAACTCTGTGGTTGTCTTGATTTTCAGTGATACAAAAGATTATTTCCAAAAACGTTTATTTACAAACATTAGAAAAAATACAGTTAAGTTTTAAGTAAATATCCTAACTATCATAATTTCTGAACTATTTTAAACTCTGAAGATATCTAACGATGTATATTAATCCTCTTAACGTGCATAAAAATCCAGTCACAATAAATAGTACAAGAATATTAACTAGTCTAGGTTGACATAGAAGTGTGATGAAGCTCTTTAAAGTAGGTTTTATGAACACTGTTCTGCTTCTAGTATGTGCGAAATTTAATTGAATAATCTTACTGTGGATTCCAAAATATAATCCAGCTTAACCTCTTAACATTATATTAGTTTTACCTAACTTCAGTCGTATCAGTTCTGCTGTATTCGCAAGGTTTGCATGGTCACAACACTGAAAACCTTAAATCTATTCTAATCACAAATATCAAGTTTTTTTGTTCCTTCAATGATATTCCACATTGCAATCCAAGCATTTCCTTAACTACTTGCTGCATTTTGTATGTATGTTACAAATAGAATCTTTTGTAGCGTTATAATTTTTAAGGACATTTGGATGTCTCACAATATGGGGCCCTTTATTCGGATAAGGACAAATGTAAATGACACGAAAGAACGTCATTACAAATCCTATTAAGCAAAGTTTTTCTTAATGCAGCAATAATTTTTTTACTGATGTAAAAAATAGTTTCCACAAACTACATACTTCAAAAACATGTTGCCGACATTTTCTGGGGCAATGATATAATCTGTCCTTCTATATATACAGTGTGACGCATTAAGCTCGATAAACTCTGAATTAGATGATGTCCTTTAATAAAACTATTAGATGTCAAAAATATACTCCTTTGAAGATACAAATTCGTTAGTCTGGACTTGAAATATTATACAATTAAACTAGCTTATTCACACTGAAGGTCATTTTCAAACATTAAGTATGTAGTATCTGTAACATTGAGTTCACGTTAATTCATTGACATAGAATAGATAGGTGGTAAACTAAGCTACATTTGGACCACATATCAGAAAAGCGCTGTGGTTGTCCTCTAGATCAGGTATGTCACTGGGATACATTCCTTAAAAGTAATCTTCCATCAAGAATATAGGGATAGCTTCACTTTTTTCACATCAGTTTGCGTATGGAGTTTGAGTATTGAAATAATTCACATTAAGTCCCACAATGTTTGATAAGAATTATATCCCAGCGATTATAAGCAAACAATTGGAATAGATTAGAAGGAGCCACCCGATATGAAGAACAATTGTTAAAAAAATAATTCATGTCAAGTTCACCTGTGTCGGGTTTTCCAATAGGCACTTGACAACTTTGAACTTTCACAGTGACCGCACCTTTGAATCAATTACCGAACTGTCAATGTCAAAACATTCAGTAAAGGAAATACGTTCATCATGGTGAAATACACGAACGAACAATGCTTACAAATAATTAAAATTTACTACCGAAGTTGCGAGTCGGTGACTGCGTTAACTCCAATTTTTCTCATAATCTAGTAAAAAATTTGAGTGAACATATTCGCTGCTGGATGTTCCCGCGCCAGTCAGACAATGGGATGGTTAAGTGCCGGAAATATTGCTGCCGCTCAAGCTTCCGTCGCAAATGAACAGAACACGTCGATTCCAGGACTTTCTCAAAAATTGGGCATCGCTCAGACTATGGCGAATTTCACGAATAGATCTTCGCCTGCACACTTAGAAGATCAGCTTAACTCAATAAGTAAAGCCGTTCGATTAGATGAACCAAAGTACGTTCTCGAATTGGACTCCAGAAATTTTGCAAGAAAATGACCAATTCCATCGCAAAATCATCTTCAGTGATGAGGCGCATTTTTGGCTAGACAAACAGAATATGCGTTATTGGTCAAGTAGAAACCCTTACGTGCTTCAAGAAACACCACTTCACCACAAAAAATAACTGTACGGTGTGGTTTTTGTGCCGGTGGTGTTATTGAGCCGTTTTTTTTTTCGTTGATGAAAAAGACGGTCACGTTACAATCAACGGAGATCGCCACAGAAACATGTTGCAACGTTATTTTTTTGGTCAATTGGATGAGCTATACATTAATCATATGTGGTTTCAACAAGACGGTGCCACCAGCCACACAGCGGGTGGAACAATCTACATATTGAAATCAAAATTCGGTGAGCCTGTTATTCCGAGAAATGGTCCTGTCGAATGGCCGCCTAGACAGTGAGATTTAATACCTCTAGACTTTTTTTTGCGGCTACATTAAATCATTGGTCTATGCCAACAAGCTGGCGCGTTAAAGGAGCTGATAGTCAATATTGAACGAGAGACAGCGGCCGTTTCTAAATGTTTTGAGGAAACTTCAAGCCAATAATAACATTTTTGAGGTATTTAAAATGGTTTGCATTTTCTTTAAAAGAAAGTTGCCAAGTCCTTAATGGAAAACCCTAGTATATGCACTTTCATCCTGACTACAGACTCTGATTTTCGACACGAAGGCTTGCTCCTTCTACCTAGTCGGGATTAGTTGATTATAGGTGACTACTAAGATATTCATGAACGTGTTGTTCTAGGTGAGGAACTTAACTACAGATAGATATTCACTGTCTGTGGGGCTCAAAAGTTAAGTGCCAATATAGAACATTCACATCTACTTCCACAAATATTATATATCGTACTTAAGTCTTCAACATCCTTATATTCATTTATATATTTTGCTTCGAAACAAAGGTGATGACGCGATTAGACAGACCGTGTGATAAGTATCAATATCAGTGGGTATGTTGGTTCAAAATGCGGCGCTGGCTATACAGCGTAGATCTCTACCCTAGAAAACAGGGTGTTCTAGAATTTTCAGGGTACGAGTATTTTCTTTCTTTGGCATTTAAAACAAAGTACATATTTTTTGAATATCAATTTTTTTTCAATCTTGACAGAGTTTCAACTCTCTACCGTTGCCGTTCCAGTTGACTTTTCCACGAGATTTGCGCTGTTTTTGACATGACATATGTTTTATTTTGATTCTGTAGTAAATGTGGCACCCTTTGAGACTATTTACTAGATATTATTTAGTTTTTAGTATTTAGGAATGTCCAGGAGATGTGTGTGACGAAGACACTGCATCTGATCAGCAGACAAGTTTAGTTTTAAAATATGTTAAAAAGAATGTAACTTTGGGTTAGGTTATTGCTTCACGTGCCGAAAAGTTAGCGAGTTCATAAATCGATTTTAGATGCCAGCGTCATCGTTACGGTATCAGTACTCCGGGGAAACGGCAACATCAGAACTTATAAATCGACCTCTTTGCAGGAACTACAGCTTTCTCATACGGAAATATCAGTTTAGTAAATGCCTTGACATAAAATTCACATTTACTGTACTTAGTTCAGTATACAACATCCTATACCAGATTCAGAAATCATCGTTACCATCTGAAACGTCAACAAACGAAGTTTGAGTGCTTATTATTTTTTTCGTTTTTGGCATTTTTTTTCGCAGCCACTGCACTGATCTCCGAAAACTACTAAGTTTTTTCGTCCTTTGTATGGTAGTAACCTTGTGTGAGATTTTCCACAAAATTCGAGCGGTACCTCTCAAGGTATAGTCGGACCAAAATTTCATACAAGACCCCAAAACTTTTCACAAGTCGTCACCAAAAACTAAACATCATACACAGGACCGCATCTTAAGGGGCCATTTTCAACAATTTTTGTAATCATTTCGTTGGTCTTAGTGTTATGTTTATGTTGTCAGTTGTTGTTGTTCATTACCCCTAATGTGTTTAATTTTTCCAATTAAATTAATCATCATTTTGCAAGTTAGACAATAGAACGGTTTTTATTTTTTTACTCAAAAATGGCGCATCGAAAGAAAGCGACCTGAGAGATGTCACTTGTTTTAAATTGAACGGGAAATTCAAAAATAATTTTTATTTGGCAAAAAACCATTGGCGTACTATTTTTTTCTTAAAAAATATCGAAGTCAATTCCCGTACGTACGCCACATTTTTTTTTTCTAAAACTTCAACACCCCGAGTTTTTGTAAGGAAACATTTTTGGTCCATAGTTTTTTAAAGTAAACTAAAATTAACTTTTCATGTAGATTCACACCCTTGAATATTCGCATATCATTAAGGAACACCCTGTATATTCATATATATAATTTTTTTCCTGAAAGGTCATGCACAAAGGTAAGAGGTTGCAATATATGGCCAGAAACCCCGTACTGCACCTCATATCGCTGCTACCAATAAAATATCACTTTCGGCCTGTTTTACTTAAAATCGAGATGTATGGTTGTAGATGTGGTGATGGTTAGGCGAATGCCACACGATCAGTTGTCACTGTGATCCATCAGCATTTATCATAGAATGTGAGATTTATTGACCTTGTAGCCAGGACATCGGTAATTATTGATGTCTTAGGTTACACAGAAATTCACTAACACTGACGAAGTGATCAGTCAATACTGATGGTACAGATCACAGTGAATACTGAGCCTCTGATATTCACCTCAAATAATCTATAATACACTGAAATCCAAATTCCACTAACATGTAATGTATACGAGAGAGAAGCATGCAATACGTGTGTTAGCAAGAGATAGAAGCACTTCGTTGCCTAGCAACTCGAGTACGAGGTTACGGAATCCATCGACGCACTCTTTCTAACATACATACCGCACGCTTATCGCGCTCCTCCAAATTTGAATATTACCGCATATGTTTAAAATACAGATTGGTGTTGCAAATTCGTAGCTCTAGATGTTTAGGAAGGCTTAAGTAAGATATAACAATAATATTCCTGACATGTGGTATAAGTACATCTCACCTCAAACTTGTGTGACACTGTCATGCTGGTAATTCTCTTCAGATGCTTCTAGGATTTTAGGGATGTTTTTGGCATTCTCTGTACCGAAGATGTAGGTATGCTCCTTGAAGCTGTTTTGCAGCTTCGTACACTTGACAATAGCTCGAGTGCTCTCTAGAGTGCTGGGAATAGACTGTGTGAACAGTTTGGAAACACCCAAGGCATACGTTTCGCAATTGCTCTCAGTTTTTTGGGGCCGTTTCACCAGGAATTGTTTCAATACTTGCCGAAACTGGAACAAGAGATAGTTCCTAAGGTTGATTATTTTGTCAGTACTATATTATTTTGTCAACATTATATTATTTTGTGACAAAAAAAGTGTATAAGAAATCGTGGATCCTCAACACACTATTGAACCAGCTTCTGAAGTCAGTTGACGAGTCAAGCTGAAAACTCAAACATTCTACTAGTAAGGGACACCGAACATATATGCCAAAAATTATTAAAATCGGATAAACATACGCAGTTGTTTACCTTTTTTGTCATTCAGTATACTCCTGGAGAAAGTCCAAATTTTACATTACTGATTTTGACATTAGTACCTCAATTACTTCCAGTGCTGAAAGTGTTATCGACCTGTAAACTATCTGACAGCTTCAGTTCCATCATTTTGATTAGGTAATGGTATAGAGTCGAAATGCTTCATAACTAGTTTGCGTATTCTCATGTTTTATGCTCTCCAAAATTTCCACAAATGCTTACCTGACTATTGAGTCCAACATATATAATTGGATTATAACATATACTACTCTTCGCCAGTAGAGCCGGAACTACACCAGCAGCTGGAGATACGATAGAAGGATCCCAGAACTGCACCAGAAGGGCACAAATAGCGTACGGAGACCAAGCTAGCAAAAACGCGACGATCATCAAGAATATCATGTAGGCCACCCGGCCTTCCGCTTTCGTTGTTTGGCCCATGTGAAGTTTGTTCTGAAATATAAAGTGAATTACTGAATACACGAATTATGGTGCCAAAAATTTGACCAAGAAACAAATAGTTGGACGGAACTTTATCTGTTTACACATTCATCCTCGCTTGAACCTCTGCGACGATGTTACGCTTTGCAAACCTCAGTAAAATACCATTGAAAATATATGATAAAACTACTGAATGCAAAAACGGTTTCTTTACATCTTAATATAAATGGATAACAGCTAATTAAAGATAAACAGTTCGCTCATGGAGCGATGTGAAACGAGACCTAAGCTTTTCTTGAACTGAATCAACCAAAATCGTCAGCCTAAGCGCGGTTTCACACACACCGATATTATCGGTGTCGTTATCGGAATCGGTATCGGAGAGTGCTTTCTTACACACCGATAAAAAAGTAAAACTTTGCGCCGTCTTTCATAAAAGGCCAGGGATCAGTGCGGTGTGTGTAGCGTCTCGGAACAGTTTATTATTTAATATGAACAAAAAAGCTGTGTTTTTATTATATTTGCTGTATTTGCGAAAAAAGAAGTGTCGAGAAAAAAGACGAAGACGATATTGGGTCCATCCCATATTATCTCAAAAATATGTAGAAGGAGCATTTTATACAATGTTTGAAAAATTTCGCGAGCATGATGAAAAGTTTTTTAACTACTTCAGAATGAGCACAGCTACATTTGACTACTTACTAGAAAAGTTATCATGTAGCTTACAAAGACAAGATACTCAAATGAGATTATGTGTACCTCCAAAAGAAATGCTGGCAATAACACTGAGGTAAGTGATTAAGGAAATTCTTTAGTTGCATTTAAAGTAACATAACATATAAAAATTCTTACATAAACTTATCTTTGACAATAAAAATAATTCATACACTATTTTGGCAATGTTGTGAAACATCTTGTGAGGTGCTACTTGTTGATATATATGACCCTTCTTGAAAAAACGACTGATAGTTTGTCGTTGATGGGTTTGCTGCTTGTAGAATAGTATATGACGGAGATGAGACTGCAGAGAAATCAGACACAGGAGAAGTAGAAAAGGTGATGCTAGAGGTGCTTATGTGACGATTTCGTTTAATTTTTTGAATTAGCTGCAGTACTCCCATCCTAAACTCAATTTTTTCCTCTTCTGACATTGTTGTTATCATAGGAACAACGGAATTGAAGAATGACTCATCTTCATTGGAAGGTTCATTTAGTTTTTTCCTAATTTCCAATTCAATGGGGTCTGCAAGCCTCTTGCGGCCTTGGCGAGTTTTACTTGCATGGGAACTTCTTGAACTGGCTTTAGATATTGCTGGTGTAGGTGGGACCTCATTTCAATTTTCAGTTTCTTCTCCTTGGTGCACTTCCTCATCCGAAATACTAGAGATCGTTTCATCTTTATTCATAACTTGTAACAAAAATTGCAGCTGATCATGGTAAACATATTTTCGTTGTGCACCCTGTCCACTCTTTTTCTTAAGGGATCTAACAAACGCATCTCTTATATTTTGCCACTTTGTTGTAATAGCGTCACCTGAAATAGATGGTATACATAGATATTTTTTTCAGATATTTGGCAAGTGGAAACACGTTCACGGATATGCATTATGCCTACAGATTAGGAGTTTCAACCATAAGCAAGATTATAAAAGATGTTTGTCATAGTATTTGGAATATTTTGAAAGATGAATATCTTCCAACTCCAACAGTAGAAAATTGGAAGGACATTGCTGATGGATTTACAAGAAATGCTCAGTTTCCGCACTGCATAGGAGCTGTGGACGGGAAACACGTCCGCATTATGAAGTTTCCAGGCAGTGGATCGATGAATTTGAATTATAAACATTTTTTTTCGATAGTCCTAATGGCTATTGCGGATTCTAATTACCGCTTTATATACGTAGACATAGGTGCCTTTGGTAAGGATTGCGACTCATCAGTATTTAAAGAAACCGTGTTTTGGAAATTATTACAACAAAATGCCTTGAATATTCCCCACCCAAGCCCCCTAATTTCAACAGGAGACAATCTACCATTCGTCTTAGTTGGAGACGAAGCATTTGCACTTTCCCAGAATTTACTTAGGCCATATGGGGGCCATAGTTTAAATATTAATAAAAGAATTTTCAATTATCGCTTATGTCGAGCGCGACGGTACATAGAATGTTCGTTCGGTATATTAGTGAATAAGTGGCGAATATTTCACAGAGCCATAAATGTTGGTAAGGAGTACGCAAAAGATATTGTTAAAGCGTGCATAATTTTGCACAACCTAGTTCGAGAAAAAGATGGCACTCGTGTAGAAGATATGTACGCACCAGACAGAGAGCTACAAAATCTACCACCAACTACAGCATGTCGCGGTGGACGAGCTGCCAATGATGTTCGCGATAAATTTGCAGAATTCTTTGTAAGTCCAGAGGGATCCTTACCATGGCAAATGTCTAAAATTTAGCGCATAAGTTACTGCTTCTGGTTCTATTTAATGTCTTTATACTTAGATATTACTTTTACATTTAGGCAAGTGTTCTTTAAGTTTAAAGCTCAAATAGGTACATATTATGTACTAACCTAGATCTGTAACGTAGGCTGTAAATGTGAATAAATACAGGTAAAAACATGCACTTACCAATTTTTTGCTGTTCTTGTTCATTTAAATTATCGAAATTGGCTTCAAGGTATTTATGCACTTCTTTCCACTCACGTTTTTTCAATATCTTGTCTTTGTAAGTCTCGGAAAATTTATTCCACAAACAGGGCCTTGCTTCCACCAATTCAATGAGTGTAACAATGTCGTAATTAAATTTAGTCACACTCATATTAAGTATAACCCGTGTTCCAGCAACCAGTCAATACGCCAAACTACTCGTGCGACACTGAGTTTCAAAAGTGATATGACACACCGATAACGACAAGTCGGAACGTGTGAATGTGCCTATTTAGTTTGCATTGCGTACTAAACCGGGCGATAATTTACTGGCCGATTTTAACTCGACCATCCGACAGACGCAACGATATCGAACACGGCCACCGATATATTTATCGGGTCGGTTTTTGTGTAAAACTATTCATTTAAGGCAATGTATTTGTTAGGCAAACCGATACCGATACCGATAACGACACCGATAATATCGGTGTGTGTGAAACCGCGCTAAGACGCCTAGATATTATTTGTTGACGTTCATTAATGCCATACGTGTCAAAACTAATAAATCACATGATCAAATTAGAAGCGTTACATTGAAAATGGTAAAAAATATACTAAGTGACATATAAATCCGAACACCCAGTTTAAATGGTTTTATTTTAATAAAAGTTGGTGAATATATTTATCTTACTGTAAATAACAAGTGAAAAAATTTTCAGCCTTATCAGTTGGACATTCCGGTTTATATATTGCTTTTTTTTAATTCACTAACGCTCTAAAAATGAATATTTCAGCCGCAGTAAAGAATCAACGTTGGCGGATTTTGGTTCTTGACATCCTTTACGATCGGTTACGATGCCTAGAGTACGGAGACCTGTACGATTTCGTCAACTTAGTGAGTTTGATAGGGGCCGTATAGTGGGACTTCGGAAAGCTGGACCTTCTTTTCGGGCAATTGCAGTTAGAGTGCAAAGAAGTGTAGACACTGTGGTTAGGTGTTGTCAGGCATGGCTTTGAGAAGGCCGTACGCAAAGAGCAAGGGGCACTGGACGCCGCCGTAGAACAACAGACCGTGAAGATCGCCGCCTAAGATTATTGGCCTTGAGGGACCGTTTCTCCACTACCAGGTCCATTGCAAATGAACGGTTTGCAGAACACGGAAGACCTATTGGCATGCGAAGTGTTTACCGACGAATGAGAAGTTTTGGCTTGTTTTCATACCGGCCATCCTGGGTCCTCCCTTTAACTGGAGAACACCGACGTAATCGCCTTGAGTGGTGCAGACAACGGTCACTCTGGGATCAGGAATGGAACAGTATTGTCTTTAGTGACGAGTCTCGATTTTGTTTAGGCATGCACGATGGTCGTCCCAGGGTTAGAAGGCGACGTGGTGAAAGGAGGAATCCACAGTTTTTTGTTGAAAGACATGTTCATCACACTGTTGGAGTTATGGTTTGGGGTGCTATAGCTTATGATTCCAGGTCACCTTTAATCTTCATCAGAGGTAACATGAACGCGCAGCGTTATATCCACGAAGTTCTAGAACCCCATCTTTTACCCTATCTTGACACTCTGGCAGATCCAACTTTCCAACAAGATAATGCCCGACCACATGTTGCAAGAGTCACAATAGACTTCTTTCAACATAATGATGTCACATTGTTACCATGGCCACCAAGATCTCCCGACTTATCCCCAATTGAGCACGTGTGGGATATGATGGGTAGGAGATTGCTCAATTTGCAACGTCCTCCTCAGACTCTAGAAGCACTTCGAGAGGAGTTGGTGGTTGCCTGGAATGAGATACCACAGGAGGACATTGACCACATGATCAGAAGCATGCCTAGGCGCGTTGGAGAATGCGTAGCACATCAGGGTGCATCCACACATTATTAAAGGTCAAAGGGCTTTAAAGCAGTGCAATCATTTTGAAATTTTTATCATTTACTTATTATGCTTCTTTAAGTACTTATACAAAATTTTATTAAAATAAAACCATTTAAACTGGGTGTTCGGATTTATATGTCACTTAGTATAGCTTTCGGAGAAGATACATTTGTTGCGGCAATATGGAACGTTTATCCTTCAAGAAGAGATTCAGATCACGAGGTGCAAGTTTGAGGGACAACAGACTTGAAGTCCGTTTCTTGTCTATAATCTTTGATAATGTGGGTATGCTAGCAATGAAGAAGTTATTGTTGCATGTTGAAAGTTATTGTAAGCTGCCGTAAGTTTCCTCGTAGTTCAAAATGTTCCGACCGATTAACGAATCAGTCAAAAAATGAATGGATCTCCTCTATTTGATTCAACTCACAGTAGGATATTATGTTATTATTCTGTGTAGGTGATTATTGTGCATTGTAAAGCTATGTCCAGATATGTAACAACACCGCGAACCGAACCACGCGACGAACCGCAGCGCGCGCATTTTGACGAACAACATTGCAACGAGCATCAGCTCAAACCGAACCACGTCGAGCAATCACATCGCGCAACAAAATGGCGATCCAATTTTGATGTTTGTCGTTCCGTGAACGACCTAATTTTTTTTAATTTATTGTAATGCTAATAATGTTTTGCATCCCACAACAATTCCCCTGCTCTGTATTGCTCTATAAGCAATCTTTTCTTCACGTACTCTATCCATTTACTGATATGAGCGCGCCGCACCGATATCCCTGTCCAAACATGTGCAAGTTCGTCGCGAGCCTTTCCTTTGATGTTACGCTGAAAAACCGACAGAGTCTGGATCGGGCAGAACGGCGAGCTGTAACGCTTATCAGGTTCGCGACGTGTTGTTACATATCTGTACATAGCTTAACGTAAAACAATGATAAAATGTCAAAACGCAGCTCAATTTTCTTTAAGTAAATGCAGCGTCGTCAAATCGAAAATGGTCTTAAGATACAAAACGAAGTCGGTGCATAGGGAGTTAGACACAAACTTAGCAAAGATAAACCTGACCTAAAAATAGTACATACAGGCATCACTGACATTTATCCGTCAGAATCAAACTAAATTTCCAGTGTTTATTCCAATTATATACTTAGGCGTAGTGTTTTCTTGATCATTTTTTCTCATTCGTTGAGATAAGATGTATATCTGTTACTGTCTTTGAAAAAGGAGGCTTTCATGTCGACCACGCATTTTGCTCCGGATACTGTGTTTTCGGCTTCGTCCATCTACTTGTTTATTGGTTCTAGGAGAAAGATAAATAAGCAGATTCAATGGAAATGAGATTTGAACCCATGATTGTCAGTTTCCTGCTGGGCCATTGCAATATTGAAATTGCATCGGGGTCTAGACCAGACGTTTTCATAATTTTTTTGAATTTCATTCATACCTTCAACCTTCGAAAAGTGGTTATTTAATCAGTCATTTGTCTATATATTTGCTTATCTGACGTTAGAGCCCAAATCCGATCTGAGCTTGAAAGAAACGAAAGCTATGCTTACATAACTTCCTTTATTATATATTAAGTGACATATAAAAAAGGACACCCAGCAATAATGAATTCATTACAACAATCCTTTGCCTACATGGTTATTACAGGAAAATCTAACCGTTGAAACTTCTATCATCATCTAAGCGAACACCTATACTAAGTGACATATAAATCCGAACACCCAGTTTAAATGGTTTTATTTTAATAAAATTTTGTATGAGTACTTAATGAAGCATAATAAGTAAATGATAAAAATTTCAAAATGATTGCACTGCTTTAAAGCCCTTTGACCTTTAATAATGTGTGGATGCACCCTGATGTGCTACGCATTCTCCAACGCGCCTAGGCATGCTTCTGATCAGGTGGTCAATGTCCTCCTGTGTTATCTCATTCCAGGCAAGCACCAACTCCTCTCGAAGTGCTTCTAGAGTCTGAGGAGGACGTTGCAAATTGAGCAATCTCCTACCCATCATATCCCACACGTGCTCAATTGGGGATAAGTCGGGAGATCTTGGTGGCCATGGTAACAATGTGACATCATTATGTTGAAAGAAGTCTATTGTGTGACTCTTGCAACATGTGGTCGGGCATTATCTTGTTGGAAAGTTGGATCTGCCAGGGTGTCAAGATAGTATAAAAGATGGAGTTCTAGAACTTCGTGGATATAACGCTGTGCGTTCATGTTACCTCTGATGAAGATTAAAGGTGACCTGGAACCATAAGCTATAGCACCCCAAACCATAACTCCAACAGTGTGATGAACATGTCTTTCAACAAAAAACTGTGGATTCCTCCTTTCACCACGTCGCCTTCTAACCCTGGCACGACCATCGTGCATGCCTAAACAAAATCGAGACTCGTCACTAAAGACAATACTGTTCCATTTCAGATCCCAGAGTGACCGTTGCCTGCACCACTCAAGGCGATTACGTCGGTGTAAGGGTTAGAAGGCGACGTGGTGAAAGCAGGAATCCACAGTTTTTTGTTGAAAGACATGTTCATCACACTGTTGGAGTTATGGTTTGGGGTGCTACAGCTTATGGCTCCAGGTCACCTTTAATCTTCATCAGAGGTAACATGAACGCGCAGCGTTATATCCACGAAGTTCTAGAACCCCATCTTTTACCCTATCTTGACACCCTGGCAGATCCAACTTTCCAACAAGATAATGCCCGACCACATGTTGCAAGAGTCACAATAGACTTCTTTCAACATAATGATGTCACATTGTTACCATGGCCACCAAGATCTCCCGACTTATCCCCAATTGAGCACGTGTGGGATATGATGGGTAGCAGATTGCTCAATTTGCAACGTCCTCCTCAGACTCTAGAAGCACTTCGAGAGGAGTTGGTGGTTGCCTAGAATGAGATACCACAGGAGGACATTGACCACCTGATCAGAAGCATACCTAGGCGCGTTGGAGAATGCGTAGCACATCAGGGTGCATCCACACATTATTAAAGGTCAAAGGGCTTTAAAGCAGTGCAAACATTTTGAAATTTTTATCATTTACTTATTATGCTTCATTAAGTACTTATACAAAATTTTATTAAAATAAAACCATTTAAACTGGGTGTTCGGATTTATATGTCACTTAGTATAATTAGATGATCGATTTCCTTAACTCCTCGATGCAACGCATGGCGGTCATGTTGCCTCTGATGTACACCAAATGTGACTGGCTTCTATAAGCAATAGTGCCCGATTCAAATAGTTCCGAAAATGTGCTGCATATGCTTCTCCGTAGGAATCTGAGAATCTCGTCTCTTACCTCGTCGCTTTCTCACCCTTTCACGGCCGCCGTGCATCCCCAAACAGAATCTGGATTCATCGCCAGAGCCAACGGCATACCAGTCGTTCTCTGCACCAAGCCTGTCGATCACTTCGGTGCCCAGGAGTGAGAGGTAAGGCAAACTGAGGATCGTATAAAGTAAGCCCAATGCTATTTCAAATGCCGGGTCACCGCGGCTGCTATGAGGCTCCCAAAGAAATTTTTTAATCCGATTTTTGAAATAAGTAAGGTTAAGAGAACGAAGAAGGCCTTCCTCTTGTAGACTGATCCACAATTTTGGTAGCCTCGGAACAAAGGAGCGGTCGTGTCGGCCAGTTCTGGATGTACGTAGTTCGACACGGTTAGGATGGGAGGCCAAAGTCAAGCGGGTAACTGTGTGGCACCACGTCGCGCGGCGGCATCATGGATGAGAGCTCTGAGGAGCAAAGCTCCTTGGTGTAGCGATAGAAGGATCCCGAGACTGTCTGTTAGAGAAGAGTTATCGATCAGTCGCACAGCCGTCCTCTGGCCAGCATCGAGCATAAATAATGTAGTCGGGCGGCAGTAACCTAAGCGTATGGGCAATACTCAAGGCTAGGCCCTGTTTGGTCCGGAGATGAACAATTCGAGTAGTAATAGGTTTTCCATGCTCTCCAAACCATTGGTCCCCAGTTGACCTTGTAAAGAAGAAGCGGTATCGTACATCCAAAAGCCCAACGCGGCGGCCCTGTACCTCTAACTCTTCGTGTGTATGGCCTTCCTGATTCCATCACCGACAACAAACCACTACCGTATTTAGCCTTCTCTGCACCCTGGTGGCTATTTCTCTAAGCGACAGCACACCAGCCTTCCTATCAAACTCGCTAAGCTGTTGAAATCCTCGCCTTCTCACTCTAGGCATAAAGAAGATATTAAGGCAGCTTTTCACAACGTGTTGTACGTTGATCAAATGCCAATTCTAGCTACAAGACACAACTATCGCTTTCCTACTTTTTTTGTAAGAAGAGACGATATCACAAGTAACTATTTATATCATTAAAAAAGCTGCTGATTGCTTTCTGTCCTATCCTAAAAAACCGTATGCCTAGAAAGTATTTGTAATAAACTGCGGTCTTTTCTCTTAGTATATTCAATGTTTTCTTGTATATGACGTTGGGAGTATAGAATAAACTGTAAATTTTCGTGTTTTTTCGTGTAGAAATCGTGAAAATCTCTATAAGTGGCTATTACCTTTCTCATCGTATGCATGATGTGTGCATAACTATAGATGATCACGGCTAGAGGTAGAAACAATCCAAAGGCAAAAAGGTACAGAATGTACGACATTGCGTTCGGGGTGTGCTCCTCCCAATTTACAGAACAACTGAAAAAAAAGAATATTACATAGCCTTTACAGAACAACTAAGACAAAGGAATATTACATAGACTCTTCAGGCCCAAAACCTAACTTAAAGCGCTTAATATCTAGCCAGTGAGATATTGAGTTGCAAATAATAAAGAATAAGAAAGATATCGACTTGACGCGGTTAGTTACGTCGAAAGTAACAAAACCAGTTTACGGTGGTAAAGGGTGTCCTGCTATGAATTGACCTCCCCTCTTAATTCATTTGTTTAGGAATATAAGATTAACACAAATGTTATAAGGTCCAATGCAAAGCTTTTCATGCAATACCCTATATTTATATGCAGGACTTCTCAGAAAACCAATACCGAGTAAAGCTGTATTTCTTAAATGAAACGCGTTGTAGATTTTTTGGAAAAATGATACTCGTTTTTTTCTTTAATTTTGTGTGTTATTTATTCATGTGTATCTAACTTTAAAACATCTGTAGTCAATTTATCCAAAAAAGAAACTGGACCCAAACATAAGGCTGCATGTACCGCCGTGTTGTCTCCCACTCCAACTTCCTGGCTTGGCATTGATCCTGTATATGGGGGCTCCATTATGCTCAATAACTTCAGTTTTCCAAAATAGCGACTGTCGTCTAATTAGGAATATACGAGGAGGTACCCAAAAATAACCGAAATACCCTTGCAGTGGGCGGAGCTTGTGTAGTACACATTTCTGCTCCTAGAGGCGTACAGCGCAACTCATTAACAGTTCAGTGCCACCTGAGTTGTCGATCTGGCTTGCTTCGTTCCTCTGTCGTCATTTTTTATGCTAGAGCTGTTTCGTGCTTGATTCGTTTTTCACGATGGCAAGCTTCAGTGAGCAACGTGCAGCTGTGAAATTTTGCTTTCTAATCGGTAAAAATGCTGCTGACACTGCTTTAATGTTGAAAATAGCTTACAAAGATGATGCTATGAAAGAAGAAACTCAGCTGTACGAGTGGTCTGCTCGTTTTAAAAATGGCGACATGTTGATTGATGACAAACCTCGCTCTGGACGTCCATCAACTGCCCGAATCGACGGAAATGTTGACAATATTCGAGAGTTTGTGCTTGCAGAGCACAGAAGATTTTGAAAATGAAAAGGGTTGCTACCAAGTTTGTTCCTCGGACTCTTACTGGCAATCAAAACGACCACCGAGTTGAAACATGACGTGCTTTGAAACAAGAGCTTAAATCTGATCCAAATCTTCTGTCAGAGATAATTACTGGTGATGTGACTTGGTGCTAAGCTTATGACCCAGAAACGAAGCAACAGTCAAGTCAATGGAAGACGCCATCCTCACCCCGTCTAAACGAGTGTCGTCAAGTCAAATCAAACATCAAAACAATTTGCTTTTTTTATGTCAAAGGCGTAATCCTTTCGGAGTTTGTTTCCCCAGGTCACACTGCCAATCAGACCCTTTATTTGGAGGTTTTACGACGATTGCGAAACAGTGACCTGATTTTTCGCTGTCAGGAGACTGGTTCTTCCACCAAGATGATGCATCTGCGCCCACTGCCATCTCTGTTCAACAGTTTCTGGCTAAAAATAGCATGCTGCCTCTGCACCTTATTCGCCGTGCGCCTTTTTCTCATTTCCACGAATGAAATTGGGCATGAAAGGACGCCGCTTTGATGACATTGAAGAGGTCAACAAAAAAACGATGTCAGACATTTCAAAGGAAGACTTCAAAAAATGTTTCGAGCAGTGGAAGCGCCTTTGGGACAAGTGTATTAGTTGTAGTTAGTGGGCAGTACTTTGAAGGTTTATTTGTGATAAAGTTGGAAATAAACAGCTTCTAAAAAATAATTCCGGTTTTTTTTGGGTACCCCCTCGTATAGGGTGTTAAGATAATACACATCTCTGTTTGAGAGCATTTTTTTGGAGTAATAATGCTAATTATGCGTTTTTCAAATACATTTTTTCCTACAACCTTACTTCCAAAATTATTTCTTTTATAGAATCAAAGTCATCCCAGTCATTTCAACAATGCCTGGGTATTTTCCCTACTCATAGCTGTATTTCTTGTTCTTTGCCTTTCATCTTTCTTCATTCCTTCTTCTTCTCTTTCTCCTTGACGTTGTCTGGTTTCCGGGCAAACAGACCACGACGAAGCAAACCGACAATTTTTGTATATATATTTTTTTTTTCTGGAAAATCATATACAAAATGTAGGCCAGTTTATAGCGTACTGACTCTTTGGCGACCACCTTGGCTCAAAAGTTGCCATCCTGCATGAAAAGAATATCAAAGCTACAGTACGTGAACAGGATCATACTTTACATTAATAGCAGACTGGTGTACTTTCAAGTATTAAATAACATATTGTTCTGCTGATTTCATATCACAACGATGTAATTACATAATCTCCGTCTTAAGTGGTATGTGTATTTAGTTACTTAGAAGTAGCTTTTTCATTTATATGGTCGAACACTATATTTATAACTGTGCTCTTACTGCTCATGATTTAATATCTAATTATGTTTTTTCCTTAATGACAGACCGAAAGAAGTGAAATAGTTGGATTGACTTCCACGATAAAATCCTTGTATGTAGATCTAGCATAGCAAACCAGAAATATATTTGCGTCCGCTTTACAAAATATACTAGTTTTATATTATATAAAGGGTGTTTTTTTAGAGTTATAAAACTTTAAATTGACTTTTTCCAACATTTGTGGCCGTATATCGGCAATAACATGGCGAATGATGTCTTCCAAATGGTCAAGCGTTTGTGGCTTATCTGCATAGACCAATGACTTTACATAGCCCCACAGACAAGAGTCTAGCGGTGTTAAATCATAAGATCTTGGATGCCAATTCACAGGTCCAAAACGTGAAATTAGGCGGCCACCAAACGTGTCTTTGAATAAATCGATTGTAGCACGAGCTGTGTGACATGTTGCGCCGTCTCGTTGGAACCACAGCTCCTGGACATCATGACTGTTCAATTCAGGAATGAAAAAGTTAGTAATCATGGCTCTATACCGATCACCATTGACTGTAAAGTTCTGGCCATCATCGTTTTTGAAGAAGTACGGACCAATGATTCCACCAGCCCAAACAGTAAGTTTTTCTGGACGTAACGGTGTTTCGACATAGACTTGAGGATTAGCTTCACTCTAAGTGCGGCAGTTTTGTTGGTTGAGGTAGCCATTCAACCAGAAGTGCGCTTCATCGCTAAACAAAATTCGCTTATGAAAATAGGGAACAACGGCAATCTCGTTTTGAGCCCATTCAACGAACCTACGCCTTGCTTGATGATCGTTTGGCTTCAATTCTTGCACGAGTTGGATTTTGTAAGCATGCAGTCCAAGATCCTTCCGCAAAATCTTCCATAAAGTGGATGGACACAGATCCAGTTCCTGTGCTCGATGGCGGATGGACTCATTCGGGTCTTCCTCAATGCTACGCTCTACAGTAGCAATAGCTTCTTCTGTACGCACCGTACGGCGTCTCTGGGGATGCGAGTTATCAATTAGAGTAAACGTGGTGCGAATGCGTTCCATGGGTGATCAAATTAACTACTCTGATGGACGATTTTGTCGACGATAAAATGGATGTTGTGCGCGATACGTATTCCGCACAGAACCATTATTTTCGAAATAAAACTGCACAATTTGCAAGCGTTGTTCAGGCGTGGGTCTATTCATGATGAATTGCCAAACCAAACTGAGAATAAATCACTTGACAGCTGTCCAATCGGTCGCTATCTCCAAATGTAATGCCAACTTAAAGTTCTATACCTCGAAAAAAAAACACATATATACTATTTTTTTGCATAATCTATCCAACAAAAAATCTAAAAAGCCGTCAGATTCAAAATTGCATCAAGAACATCAATTTCTTTATGCAAACCAAAAATTGGTATTTTTGCTTAGAACGCAGTCTTTTCATTCAAAATATGAAAGGTTTTATGCACCTTTTGATTTTGAGATATGAATTAATATTTGAAATAGCACAAAATATACAATTGTTGACTGTTTAAAAACAATATGAAAATAAAAATTTAAACACGCTAAACGCCATGGCGGTCCCATGGAACCGCTTGACAACAAGCCTATCGGGCCACTGTGGTCCAGACATAATATCCGCTTTATTTTCACCGCCACTATTAAATACATTTTAACGTAAGCCATGGACTGCTGAGGCTTGTGTAGATTGTATTCATATGCCGACTTTTCGATTAATCTTTTTTTTTAATTTAAATCATTTATTTACTGAGTACTAAGCTTATACAACGTCTTCGTCAAAAACAAACAAGAGTCTCGTAGAACATGATAGAAATAAAGTAAGCTATAATAGACGGATACAAAACAGGATGTTATTTATGACGTTTTCCAAAACAGCTAAGGCAAAAGTGACGACTCCCTTCAATGCGTAAAGGTTTGGTACTTTCGCTTTCGATACTCCACCTCCTTATTTTTTTATTATAGCATCCTTTACAATGTCATCTTACTTCATGCGACTTTGTAGCAGTGGAAATTAAATGCAATCATTATTATCCGAGTATCAATATTATCTAATCTATCGTGGTAAATCACAGAACCATTCATGCAAACAGAACAGGAATCGTCAACTCAAATCAGTCCTAGAAATAAAATAAGTCAAACGTCTTTATATACTAAGTGACATATAAATCCGAACACCCTGATTAAATGGTTTTATTTTAATAAAATTTTGTATAAGTACTTAATGAAGCATAATAAGTAAATGATAAAAATTTCAAAATGATTGCACTGCTTTAAAGCCCTTTGACCTTTAATAATGTTTGGATGCACCCTGATGTGCTACGCATTCTCCAACGCGCCTAGGCATGCTTTTGATCATGTGGTCAATGTCCTCCTGTGGTATCTCATTCCAGGCAACCACCAACTCCTCTCGGAATGCTTCTAGAGTCTAAAGAGGACGTTGCAAATTGAGCAATCTCCTACCCATCATATCCCACACGTGCTCAATTGGGGATAAGTCGGGAGATCTTGGTGGCCATGGTAACAATGTGACATCATTATGTTGAAAGAAGTCTATTGTGACTCTTGCAACATGTGGCCGGGCATTATCTTGTTGGAAAGAGTTGGATCTGCCAGGGTGTCAAGATAGGGTAAAAGATGGGGTTCTAGAACTTCGTGGATATAACGCTGCGCGATCATGTTACCTCTGATGAAGATTAAAGGTGACCTGGAACCATAAGCTTTAGCAACCCAAACCATAACTCCAACAGTGTGATGAACATGTCTTTCAACAAAAAACGGTGGATTCCTCCTTTCACCACGTCGCCTTCTAACCCTGGCACGACCATGGTGCATGCCTAAACAAAATCGAGACTCGTCACTAAAGGCAATACTGTACCATTCCTGATCCCAGAGTGACCGTTGTCTGCACCACTCAAGGCGACTACGTCGGTGTTCTCGAGTTAAAGGGAGGACCCAGTGTGGCCAGTATGAAAACAAGCCAAAACTTCTCATTCGTCGGTAAACACTTCGCATGCCAATAGGTCTTCCGTGTTTGACAAACCTTTCATTTGCAATGGACCTGGTAGTGGAGAAACGGTCCCTTAAGGCCAATAATCTTAGGCGGCGATCTTCACGGTCTGTTGTTCTACGGCGGCGTCCAGTGCCCCTTGCTCTTTGCGCACGGCCTTCTCGAAGCCATGCCTGACAACCCCTAACCACTGTGTCTACACTTCTTTGCACTCTAACTGCAATTGCCTGAAAATAAAGTCCAGCTTCCGGAAGTCCCACTATACGGCCCCTATCAAACTAACTAAGTTGACGAAATCGTACAGGTCTCCGTACTCTAGGCATCGTAACCGATCGTAAAGGATGTCAAGAACCAAAATCCGCCAACGTTGATTCTTTACTGCGGCTGAAATATTCATTTTTAGAGCGTTAGTGAATTAAAAAAAAGCAGTATAAAAACCGGAATGTCCAATTGATAAGGGTGAAAATTTTTTCACTTGTTATTTACAGTAAGATAAATACATTCACCAACTTTTATTAAAATAAAACCATTTAAACTGGGTGTTCGGATTTATTTGTCACTTAGTATACTTTGCTTGCAAGTCATTAAATTTGACATTGGCCTGTTTATACAGTTTTTACACATTTTGCTTGGCGCTTAACCTGTCAATATTTTGAAATTTTCTCTACATTCTTAATGACTTAAAACTAAAATATAACAGATAGAAAGATGTGAATATAAAGTAAATGTATTGTAGTACCCACAAATGACATAATGTGGTCTATTTATTAGAATATTTCTGAGTTCCCAATGATATATCTGTAAGCTATTGATTGTTTTGTTAGCATCAGGGGGCATATGTACATTTTCAGATCAGTATGAATTTATTAGTTCTCTCACAACATTGTAAGCCTTTTTTAATTGTTAATCAAGCGCACGCTCAACGTACAGTCACCAGTAGTCAAACCAATTTCTGGAAATACCTTAATAAAATTGTTGAAACAACTTTGACGCAATTTTTGGTCTGGATGAGTGCAGATTCGTTGAAAGGAACCTGCTTAATCATTATCATTATTATGCAAACATTTTCTGATCTGTTGCAAAGATCCTTCTTGGACATGCATATGGCAAGTTAAATAAAGACACAAAAATATATTTTCGGTGATGATATGAGATTATACTAAGAGCAAAGCAAATTGAACCCACCTAATATTAGCAGCTTCATGTACATATTTTCCCCATCCAAAGAGAGGGGGAGCGGTGAGTAGCAACGAGTAAATCCATATTGCAAACACAAGATAAATGGCTTCCTTCCTACTCAGTCCATGGTTCCTGAAAGGCCTCGAAACGATCAGGTACCTTTCAAAGGCCAAGACAGTCAGAGTTGTTATTGAAGATATACCTGAAGGAAAATTTGGTATCAGTGCTTTACAAAAAGTTCTCCCTACTTTCTTTAACAAGTCAATTTAGAAGGCTGAAACTCAGATGCACGAATATTATATTGTACCGAAAACTCTGTTTTTACTGTTCAAAGTATAATTTATTACTGTAATTGTCTCGTGTTAACTCCGTGCTCGCCGCTTTCGCTATCTGGTGGGGTGTAATTATTTTTCATCGATGAATTCCAGAAGCGCGCTCCCGCTTAATCTCGATCGACATCGAGCCATCGTGAAATTCGTCTGTACAGGGTGTTTCAGTTTATTGTTGCATAACTTTAAGATTCGATAGAACTTTTAAAATTAATGCATAAAGTCTATATAAACATGGGTCGAAAAATGCGAAATGCGGGTGTATAAATTTACTTTTTAAAATAGTTTTTTTTAAATACTTCGAACAATATTTGATGTATGATAGTGAAAATTGGTATACAAGGGTTTTTTGGTACGACAAAACGAAACATGGGCATAGTTTTACTGTAGCCGCTAGAGGGCGCTCTCTACTGTACCTGTAGTGTATTAAAATGACCGAAACTTTTTCTTATTGCAATTTTTTGGTTTTTGAATACAAAAACTAATTCTTCGCACTTTTCTGCATAAAAAAGCTCTCCTGCCAGTGTTCGTTATAGTTAGCCGTTTTGGAGATATTTCGATTTTTAAAGTTCGATGCATTTTTAATTATTTATGGGAAGATAATATTTTGTTTACATTTTCGATTTGGGCATTACAAGTAATTAAGATGATCGTTTAGATTGTGTTTTTAAACACAGCAATAATTCCTAACTCCAAATAAACACAAAAAAAACAGAATATTAATTTGTTTAATTTTCCAATATTATTTTTAAAAATTAAATTAATTATTTACAACTAAAATGCTATTGGATAGTTAGGACAAACATACAAAATCTAAAGTAGTTGCTCGAAATGTAAACCCAATTGTTCAATACACAATTTACATGTACGAATAATCGAACGTGGTATAGCATTAATCAAATAAGGCCTTATTTCATCACATGCATTCCTGATTCTGTCTATTAGCATATCTCTTGTGGTTACGGGAGTCTGGTACACTTTTTCTTTTAGAAATCCCCACACAAATAAATCTAATGGATTCTGTCAGGGGCTCGTGGAGGCCAGGCGACTGGTCGTCCACGGCCGATCCATCTTTCTGGATAATTTTCGTCCAGCCAGTTTCTAACTATTCTCGAATAATGAGCTGGACAACCATCAAGCTGGAACCATGCCAATCTTCTTGAATCTAACATAACATCATCCCACATATTTACATGTTCAGCCTTTAAAAATTCCAAGAAGGTCGCAGCATTTAACCTTGCAGCCAAAAGGTAGGGTCCAAATAGTCGATTACGGTAAATACCAATCCACACGTTTACACTAAATTCATGCTGAAAATTTCTTTCCCGAACTGCATGCGGATTTTCATGCGACCAAATATGTTGATTATGAAAATTTACCACTCCACGTCTAGTGAAGCATGACTCATCGTTACTTAAAAACTCCCTATTATTATCAGTTCTATCAAGAATCCACTGACAAAATGTGATTCTTCGTTATCCGTCCCCAGGCTGTAGTCCTTGCACAGGTTGCAAATGGTAAAGACGTCTATGGTCATTTCTTAGAACACAGTGGACATGGCTTGCTGAAATTCCCAAGGCACCAGAAACTCTCCTAACACTTGTGGTCGGATCTCTATCAAACTCACGCAGAATCATACGGGTAAATCTGCGCTGATCCCTTTGGAGATTTCCAAAACCATTTTCAGTTATTTGGCGATGCACTCTTACAAATACTGAGCGAGTTGGATGTCGTCTGTTTGGAAGTCTTCGTGCGTATTCTCTGGCTGCTTCTGCTGCGTTTCCATTTACAAAGCCATACACAAAATTAATATCCGCTAATTCTTGACTGGAGAATAAAAATGGTATTTTTATAAAACTTAAAAAAAAACATGTAAAAGAAACTAAATTTCGTGCATTCACAATTGCAAAAAACGTTTCAGGTTTCAACAGACAACAAAACTAACTGTCAACTAATTGACGTTTAACCTTATTCTGCTTTCAATTTCAAAAATATTTGCAGGCACTGCCTACTTCTAAAAATTATCGAGATACTGACTTTTTAACGTTATTTGATCATAAATAATTAAAAATGCATCGAACCTTAAAACTATATCGAAAATTCACAAGAGAGCTTTTTCATGTTGAAAGGTGCGAAGGATCAGTTGTTTTATTTAAAAAGCAAAAAGTTGCACTAGAAAAAATTTGTCGGTCATTTTAATACACTACAGGAACAGTAGAGAGCACCCTCTAGCGGCTACAGTAAAACTATGGTTCGTTTTGTCGTACCAAAAAACCCTTGTATACCAATTTTCACTGTTATACATCAAATATTGTTCGAAATATTTAAAAAAAAACTATTTTAGAAACTAAATTTAAACACCCTGTATTTCGGAAGCCACGCATTTTTCGACCCATGTTTATATAGACTTTATGCATTAATTTTAAAAGTTCTATCGAATCTTAAAGTTATGCAACAATAAACTGAAACACCATGTATAGCGAATAATATTTCTTGATGGGTCTTGACATTTCTCGAGATGGCCGCAAGCGCTCTACCACAGCCGCGTAACTATGGTTGCCTAAGCGTTGAGATTACGAGGGCGCCCCAACGCCACCGAAGCTCCCAGCTATTCTAGGGTGTCACAATATGTGTAAATTCACTCCAAAGCTTCAAAATGGCGCATAGCAGTGTGGCGCCAGCTGGTTATTTATTTGAATAGAATATGGGCCATGTGATGATACCTCATTTTTCGTTCTGTTTAAAAGGGAATTAAAATTCTGTCATTTTTTCAACCATATTTTAACACACATTCAGATAGGTCTTCTCAGAAGAAGATTGCATTGCAAGGTAACGTGCAGCATTTTGATCATATTTTAGATCCAGCAAGCCTCCGGTCCGCCATTTTAAAGGATAAAAAATGTATTATGAAGTACTAATAAGGAGCTTTAAAATGAGATACACATGGCCCTCATTTCCCTTCAAATCGACGTTCATATTCGGGCATCCATTTTATCATGAAGAGTTTTAACTTACTAATCTTGATCCGTTCAATAATAATTTGAGGGAGGGGTGTTGCCTTGCGGAAAACACTGTAGATACAACGAAGCGATGTAAAATGCATGAAGAACAGATTATGTGCCTTTTTTTCATGTAAAGAATTGGACTGTTCATTAAGGTATTGAAAGAACGACCATAACACACATTACCTGGCAAGTCTTAAGAGCAAGGATAAAAGCGTGTAGGTATTTCCGTTCCACAGTGTACATGTACGTTTATATCTGTAATATATGGTAATATGGATGCTTTGGACATTAGATTGGAAGTGCTTTCATTGCCTCAAATTTAAGTATGTACAGGGTGTAACAAAGGTAATGGAACGGCTCTGTACTTTTCCCGGTATGGTACGTAGTATGGAACGAGACCTTTTCAAATCTGAAAATAAAAAAATTCTTAATTTAGTTTTTAGGAATCTTTTATCTAATCATGCCAATTCTTTAATATTAGATACTATATATATTGAACCGATTTTGTCGAAGTTTTGCACAACAACGTTGCATAGAATTAACGTAAAAATAGACGAATGTTTGAAGAATCCAGGGCCGTACCCGGTTTTTAAGTTTTTAAGTTTATCAAAATCAACACCTTTCAAGCTGAATATTGATATGTTTGGGTATGTATAAAGAACAGTGCTTGATAAATTGGAAAACTAGGTTGATTGCGCTCCTTTTAGGTTTTTATTTATGCATATACATTATTTTTAGCTGGCGACACGATACTCAAAGATTCAAGGGCTCGGCTCACAACTTGGTTTCATAAACATTGCAAAAATAAAGATTAAAATTGAACTCGAGATGTATTGTGAACTCTCTAGGGTCAGATTTGTTTCTTTTTATACCCTCCTATTTTGTTGAAACATTGATGACATGCACCCTATTTAGTTCTTTCAGAATTTTTTATGATTTAATTCTACCAACTGATATAGATGTATGAATGTAGAAAAGTCTACTGTACAGGGTGGCCAGCTGAGAATGAGAAGTAAACCGGCAAGTTTCTGGAATGGCCGCTAGGGGGCGTCACTGAAATCTCGGATCTAGAAAAGTGATGTTTCTGTGAATTCGGCTATATTAACCTAACAAAAAATACTTCATCTTGGAAGTCGACTTTTTTGTTTGACAAGTTTTACGGTATCTGTAAAAGTAGTGGGAAGTTTTATAGGTTTCCGCAAAAAACACTGTTTCTTCCAAACGGCTGAGCCGATTTCAACAAACTTGGACTAGTTGAAAATAGCTATTCTTGGGCTACAAATGTTATAATATTTGAAGTTTTGTTAGTTTCACACGTGGGCTTTTTTCGACATTCCGTCACAAATGGTTAATTTTTTCAAAAAAATTAAATGCATTAGTATGATTTTTATAAGAAAAAGTAGCTAAAAGATGTCTAAAAAAGCTCGCGAAAACCGATATCTTGTTCCTAACCTTAAATTTAGGCCAAAGAAAGTTTTATACCGAAATCCCTTCAATTTCTATTTCTAAGTTTCTAACTCCTTTTTATTCATCAGGATAAAATCCTTCTTTTTGAAAATAATAGCGACGGCAGAGTCAATGTGCACAATATGAATTATTGGTCTGCAAAAAATCCGCATTGGTTGCTTGAAGTTCAACACCAACGGCGTTGAAGTTTACCTGTGGTGTGGCATACTGGGAGGCAGAATTATTGGGACATATTTGTTCGAGCAATCTCTAAATGACAATGCCTTTCTTGACTGTTTGGACAATAAATTACCGTTGTTGTTGGAAGATGTGCTACTGGAAACATGACAAAACTTGTTTCTGCAGTTGGATTGTTGTCCAGCACATTTTGCTATTGTTGTGCGATAGTATACTAGTGTAGTATTTCAACGGCGATTGGAGGAGGAAGTTTCCATGGCCACTGCGATCACTAGACTTAACTTGTCTTGATTATTATGGAAACGGTGATAGGACATCGTGTTTCACACTCAAGCTGCAACCAGAGAAAATATGAAAAACCGGATTCGTAATTTAATACGCAACATACGGAGAGCCGAAATTGAAGCTGAGCTTTTGTCTACCCATGAGAGGCTTCAGGAATGCATAGAGCACTTTTTGAGCACTTACGGGGGCATTGAAAGCCTTTCTTTTTTTAAATCGGTCCTTTTTAGGGGCACAACTTAATAATAAAAGGAAATTCCAGGAAAATAAAATTTCAAGGGAGTTCTGTATAAAACCTTCGTTCGCCCAAATTTTAGGTTAGGAGCAAGATATCGAGATGCAGTTTTCGCAAGCGTGTTTAGACATCACTTCGCTACTTTTTCATAAAAAAACATCATACCAATGCGTTAATTAAAACCCTCTAGCGGGCACATGTAAACCTAACAAAACTTTACATATTATAGCCTTTATAGCCCAGGAGTGGCTCTTGTCAACTAGCCCAAGTTTGTTAAAATTGGCTCAGCTGTCTCGAAGATACAGGGTGTTTCTTACGGAAATCTTTCAATACAGCAAAAATTGATAAACAAAAAAATTTCACATTATCCTCGACTTTAAGGATCAGGTATTGTTTTTAGCGGATTTCACAGAAACATCACTTTTATGGATTCAAGTTTGCAGTTATGCCCCCAAACGGCCATTTCAGGAACTTGAAAATATTTTACAGGTTTTTCTCTTGACCGTTCTAGTAAGAACTTTTTTCACCGCAAGCCTCTAGGATGGATAGGTTCCCAGATACAGTACCTCGTATTCTTAGTTGGCCACCCTGTACAGTTGTATATTATCGTTTTTTGGCTGATGGCGTCAAACAGGGGCCTTCCTATTTGAAAAACAAAAGTGGATCTCGATATAACCTTGAATGTGAGGCTCAAGGTCAAGCATATCGTCACCATTGGGATTGATTTCCTTCAAAGTCAGTGAAGATCTAGCCTCCTCAAGAATACCTTACGTTTGTTACCCCTGGTATGTATATATCAAGCAACTACTCTAAAAAACATATTGCAGGGAACATTTATTTTACCTAGGAGTGACATAAAAAATCCATAAATCTTGCAAACTGTTTTTCCGAAGATCCATCGGTGAGATATTGCAGACGCCAGCGTCCACGGATTTCCTAAAATTGACACCAAAAAATCGCTGCACACCAAATTGAACAGGATTATGTTCAGCGGCGTCCATAACTGGAACAATAAAAAGGCTTACATAAAATCATGGTATGCCTTAATATCTAAATAAGTGGGGCGACGTCGGGTAAAATTGAAGTTATTAAGTTCGAGATACATACAAGATTTAATCTGCCACTGGGCTATAAAATAGGTGACATCAGTGTATGAGTAGCTTTCAAGGAGACATAAAAATAAAATAAATACAAACGTACTTCGTACCGTCGTAGAGTCAGATTTATAGACCTCCCTTGATGCTTGAGGCTTCCTTGGGAACAATCGATCTTTCCTTGGAAACAGTGAAACAATAACGCTTCGTTGAGGAACGTTCAAGGGAGGATTAAAGTTTTCATTTCACAGTGAGCTGTAACAGTTGTCATCAGAAGCTGTCATGAATGTCTCGATGTCTCTTTACTGGCCGTATTTATTTAGCATTCTGATGATAAAATTTGGACGATTTGGTTTGTTTGTGCTAAATATGAATAAACAATACAAAATTAAAATGTTTCCTCAAATTACAACACAATCACAGAGAAGCAAAAAACTGAATATAGGCAACTAGTTGCACCGAACTGCTGTGTTGCTGTTATCTGTTTTTATTTTCAATGATCCCTTTAAATTTATCTAGTATCTCGATCAAATGCATCTTCTTCTCGCTAAACTTTTCATAATTTATAAGAATATAAAGTATGGGTTTTCGAGTACAATATACTTTTCTGTGATATATTGTAGTAGTTGAATCTGACATACGTAATCTGTAACCAGCCTAGCAACTGGTTGCCTATATTCAGTTTTTTACTTATATCTGATTGCGATGTAATTCGAGGAAGCAGACCCATTATTATTTTGCATTGTTTATTGATATTCAGCACAAATCGCCCAAACCTTATCATCAAATTGCTAAATAAATACGGTTAGAAAAGGAAAATCTTTATGACATCGATGACAGCTTGTGCGTACTGTGAAATGTAAAACGTGAATAATCCCTTGAACGTTCCTCAAGAAAGCGTCGTTGTTTCACTGTTTCCAAGGCGGTATCTTACATATATTGTTTCCAGGGAAGCCTGAAGCTTCAAGAAAGTTCAATAAATCTCACTCTGAAAAAATATAAAAATTTAAAAGTGTGCACTGGTTAAACACAAGCATAAAAATAGGTTTAACGGAGATGAAATGTATACTGATATGGTGAATGCACCAGGAAGTGATGCTCCTTCATGGTCAACACACAGTATTTGATTGGATTTCTGAATTTAACCCACGATACAGACGTCCATGACGACCCGCAGCTCACGCCCAAAAGTTGCTATCAACGATGATTTATTTATTCATTGTTTCATAATCATAAACGAATGACTATGTATGAAACTGCTGCGGCTGTGGGCGTATCAAATAGAATTCGGTTGGGGTCTGGAAGGTCTGACGCCGCATCCGTTAACCGTCGATCAAATACGAATTCGAATAAGATTTCTCCAGGAACACATCCGGAACAATGTGATAGTCAATCACAGAAATTGTAGCCAACAGTGTGGTCCTTGCTTGGAGAATATTTTAATTCCTACAAGGTCATTCGCAACTATGCGATGACCTAATTTTATTTTATTTTTTTTTTTTTTATTTATTTATTTCCAACAGGTGAAACCCAATTACAGGAAACGCTGAAAAAAATAGCAATTAAAGAGACATGGTTCTTGGACTTAAATCTATAGTATCACACATTCTAAATAAGATTGGATGATCTATAACAGTTAATAATCGTTGCACAACTGTCACTGTAAATATCACACGATTCAGTAACACTGTTCATGATGCAGCACATGAAATTAATTGGCGATTTTGTCATAACATTTGTACGGCCTGCTGGACAATAGAATGCCATTTGTTGTCGACTCCCTAGCCTTGGAACGCGGAAACATATTTTTTCAAGTAAATTTTGACAGTCAATTTTGTTGTGAATGAGGCCATACAAAAACGACAAAGCAAATATGTTTCGTCTTGTTGACAGTGAATCCAAATTGAAAGACTCTAATAGGGCACTATGGTCACAACCTCTTTCTGGATAAGAACCTGTGCATTTAAGGTGAAAATACTTTAAAGCTTTTAATTATCGAAGCCATTACATTTTATTGCAGATTGAGATAAACATTTTCAAACGGAGCAATTTGGTATAACATGCTACAAGTATAACATCATATTTTTGAGATATTTGAAAATCTATCTAATAAACTGAACTCGCACCTCCGCAAGACTTATAGCTAGAGGACTGAATTTTTCGTTAAAAAATATTTATGATACCCCATACTTTGTTCCTATCTACTTAATTTTTCAGGTTAATACAGGGTGGTCAAGAACGCAATGTCAACGATTTCTTCAGAATTTAAAATAGAACACACACTCCTTGACTTCCCTTTCTACAAGCTTTTGATTTGTTATAAGACTTTTAGGGTTTTGTACGACCGTTTTTTGGCTTACATCTAACCAGTGAAATCAGATATCAAGGCGAATACACAATATCAAAACCTTTCAAACTAAAAAATAGCATTTAGTTGGCAAGATTAGAATTGGCGTATTTTCATTATTAATTAAATCGACCTAGCCTCATGCAATGAAGTCAAAAGTGTCGCTATGTTTTTACGAGTTATAAGAACCCCATAAACATTATGTCCGAAATAAGCTTATGAAAACGGTAAGAAGTGTAAAAATATGAATACAGGGTGGTTCTTTGAAAATTTTGAGAAATACAGGGTGTTTCAGTTTATTGTTGCATAACTTTAAGATTCGATAGATCTTTTAAAATTAATGCATAAAGTCTGTATAGACATGGATCGAAAAATGCGTGGCTTCCGAAATACAGGGTGTTTAAATTTACTTTCTAAAATAGTTTTTTTTTTTAAATATTTCGAACAATATTTGATGTATAACAGTGAAAATTGGTATACAAGGGTGTTTTGGTACGACAAAACGAACCAGGGGCATAGATTTACTATAGCCGCTAGAGGTCGCTCTCTACTGTACCTGTAGTGTATTAAAATGACCGACAAAATTTTCTTAGCGCAATTTTTTGCTTTTTGAATAAAGAAACTAATTCTTCGCACTTTTCAACATAAAAAAGCTTTTCTGTAAGTTTTCGTTATAGTTAGCCGTTTGTGAGATATTTCGATTTTTAAGGTTCGATGCATTTTTAATTATTTATGATAAAATAACGTTAAAAAGTCAGTATCTCAATAATTTTTAGAAGTAGCCTGTGCCTGCAAATATTTATGAAATTGAAAGCTGAATAAGGTTAAACGTCAATTAGTTGACAGTTAGTTTTGTTGTCTGTTGAATCCTGAAACTTTTTTTTGCAATTGTGAATGCACGAAATTTAGTTCCTTTTACCTGTTTATTTTTTTGTAAGTTTTATAAAAATGCCATTTTTATCCTCCCATCAAGGGAGTGTATGGCTTTGTAAATGGAAACGAAGCAGAAGCAGCCAGAGAATACTCACGAAGATTTCCAAACAGACGACATCCAACTCGCTCAGTATTTGTAAGAGTGCATCGCCAAATAATTAAAAATGGTTTTGGAAATCTTCAAAGGGATCAAAACCTAAATGTTCGTCAGCGCAGATTTACCCGTATGATTCTGCGTGAGTTTGATAGAGATCCGACCATAAGTGTTAGGAGAGTTTCTGGTCCCTTGGGAATTTCAGCAAGCCATGTTCACCGTGTTCTTAGAAATGACCATAGACGTCCTTACCATTTGCAACCTGTGCAAGGACTACAGCCAGGGGACGGAGAACGAAGATTCACATTTTGTCAGTGGATTCTTGATAGAACTGATAATAATAGGGAGTTTTTAAGTAACGTTTTATGGACCGATGAGTCATGCTTCACTAGACGTGGAGTGGTAAATTTTCATAATCAACATATTTGGTCGCATGAAAATACGCATGCAGTTCGGGAAAGAAATTTTCAGCATGAATTTAGTGTGAACGTGTGGATTGGTATCTACCGTAATCGACTATTTGGACCCTACCTTTTGCCTGCAAGGTTAAATGCTGCGACCTTCTTGGAATTTTTAAAGGCTGAACATGCAAATATGTTGGACGATGTTATGTTAGATTTAAGAAGATTGGCCTGGTGCCAGCTTGATGGTTGTCCAGCTCATTATTCGAGAATAGTTAGAAACTGGCTGGACGAAAATTATCCAGAAAGATGGATCGGCCGTGGAGGACCAGTCGCCTGGCCTCCACGATCCCCTGACCTAAATCCATTAGATTTTTTTATGTGGGGATTTCTAAAAGAAAAAGTGTACCAGACTCCCGTAACCACAAGACATATGCTAATAGACAGAATCAGGAATGCATGTGATGAAATAAGGCCTTATTTGAATAATGCTATACCACGTTCGATTATTCGTAAATGTGAATTGTGTATTGAACAATTGGGTTTACATTTCGAGGAACTACTTTAGATTTTGTATGTTTGTCCTAACTATCCAATATCATTTTAGTTGTAAATAATTAATTTAATCTGTTAAAAATAATATTGGAAAATTAAACAAATTAATATTCTGTTTTTTGTGTTTATTTGGAGTTAGGAATTATTGCTGGGTTTAAAAACACAATCTAAACGATCATCTTGATTATTTGTAGGGCCCAAATCGAAAATGTAAAAAAAATATTATTTTCCCATAAATAATAAGAAATGCATCTAACCTTAAAAATCGAAATATCTCAAAAACGGCTAACTATAACGAAAACTTACAGAAAAGCTTTTTTATGTTGAAAAGTGCGAAGAATTAGTTTTTTTATTCAAAAAGCCAAAAATTGCACTGAGAAAAAATTTTCGGTCATTTTAATACGCTACAGGTACAGTAGGGAGCGCCCTCTAGCGGCTACAGTAAAACTATGCCCATGGTTCGTTTTGTCGTACCAAAAAACCCTTGTACACCAATTTTGACTATTATGCATCAAATATTTTTCGAAATATTTAAAAAAAACATGTAAAAGAAACTAAATTTCGTGCATTCACAATTGC